CGGGCAGGGGGCCTCGGGAATGCGCGCCCGGGATCGCTCACCGGCACGTGGGGAGCTGGCTCGCTGCGCAGTCCCGGGGCTGCTCCGGCGCGGGCAGGCCCGGACACGGGGTCACGCCGTCCGCAGTCCCAGGTTTGGGGCGCAGTCCCAGCTGTGGGGGTTCGGAGCGCGCGTCAGCGGCAGAGCCGGGCGGGGGAGGGGCAGCGCGACGACGGAGTCAGCTGAGCCGGGGCGCTGCGGCTAGCTGCGCTGCGCATGCGTGTGGGGGGCGCGAAGGGGAGGGAGGAAATTCCTAGGGAATGTGCACCGCGCACGCGCGCTTTTCCTCCGGCGGCGCTGAGCCTTGGAGCGCAGTCTGGGTGAGGACGGGAAGGTCTCGAGTTCAGGTCCCTACACTTTGGCGTCCAGTACCTTTTCAGGCTTAAGAATGGACTTCCCTTCCCACCCCACCCTCCATCAGGTGTTTGTTTAGTCACTGGAGAAATACTTGCGCTTTTGGCTGTGTGGCTCCTGGGCCTCTCACCGGGGAGTGGGTGCTGGCTGTGCTCACTTCCGAGGCCGCAGAGCACGCTGCGCCTTTGCAGACGCCTTTCCGCCCCGCAGACACTCAGGCGCAAAGGCCTGCGCTTTTCTTGTTTTCTTCCTATGTTATTTTATTGGTCTTCTCTGCGGCTGTCAGGAGTCCTTCCAGCCACTTTAACCCCGCTGGGTAAGTCAGGAAAAGTTCAGGATCACACCGGGCTCCTCGCAGAACTTCTGCTCTGGTCTTGAATTTTGGCCTAGGCGATCTCATTTTGAAAATAAGAATACATGTTGACATTCTTTGGTCCAGCAATTCCATCGTTTGGAATGTATTCTACATCCAATGAGGACTCTAAAAAGATTCACTGAACAGTGTGTCCGTTCAAAGAAACTACCTGACAATAGTGACACTGAATTAATATAGTACTTTGCCAAACTCTTACTAAGCCTCTATTTTCTGTATTTTGAAATTTAAAAATAAGTAGGTAGGTTGCAATAAATTGGAATGGTGAAGGAAGAGGGACAATTCTTGAATTGATTCTGTCATTCTCCCTAAGACCTATCCTTGGTATTACTGGGCTACTAAGCTATAATCTTTCCAGGCAATGAGTTATTTTAAAACTGATTTTTTAAAAATCAGATGTTTTATTACATAGAAAGTATTAATAAATAATTTAGCAGTCAAAATCATTATGTGCAGATAAGATATAAGCTACTATAATACAATGTAGTGGTTGTTCGCATTCAGAATACAAAATTATTATGTATTATCTTTAAATGGAAAGAAAATATAAAATCTAATCAAACTTGAAACTAGCTATCTATCAGTGATTAAGTCTTAGAATTTTATAATAAAGACTATAAAGGGAATATAATTACTATAGAATTTTATGGAAGAGCATAACAAAAGTAGTAAGAATAATTTCTTAAAGCACTTTGGAGAAAACATGCTCACAGATATTTCTTTTTCGAAGATAGTCTTTTTTTTTTTTTGCCAGTCATGGGGCCTGAACTGTGGGCCTGCACACTGTCCCTGAGCTTTTCAGCTGAGGTTACCACTCTACCATTTGAGCCACAGCACCACTTCCAGCTTTTCCTGCTTATGTGGTACTGAAGAATCGAACCCAGGGCCTCATACATACAAGGCAAGCACTCTACCACTGAGCCACCTTCCAGCCCAAGATATTCTTTTTTAACATTATCTTCCAATGAATCTCCAGAGCCACCCAACAAAAATATAACTTATCAACAAATACAATCCAGAGATATAATTTTAATTTTTCTAGCAGCCACTTAAGAAAAAGTGGCCAAGTGCTGGTGGCTCATGCCTATAATCCTAGCTACTCAGGAAGTTGAGTCTGAGGATTGCAGTTCAAAGCTAGACTCTCAACTCCAATAAACTACTTTAAAAAAGCTGGAAGTGATGCTGTGGGTCAACTGGTGGCACTCTAGTCTTGAGCAAAAGAAGCTCAGGGATAGCACCCAGGCCCAGAGTTTAAGCCTGAGTACCAGGAAAAAGAAAAAATGAAAGAGGTAAGTGAAACAAACTAGAACCCCAAATGATAATGAGGTTGTAATTCCAATATGTAAATACAAAAGATATTCCTAACATTTTTACTATTTTTTCCTCTTTTATATTAATAAAATTGAGAGAGGTAAGAAGTCAGGTAGATTGACAAGTCAATTTAATATAACAAGAAAGTATAGAAGAGTCTTAGAATAACTAGGATTAAGCAAATGATGAATATCTGCTGAAAACAATCTTACGAAGAGCAAAGTTTGTTAATTTTTATTTGCTGGTTTTGCTTTTGTGACAGGATCTGACTATATATTCTACTCTGGCTTTGAACCCACAATCTTCCTTTCTAAACCCTTCCAAGTACTGGGATTACAAGAATGTTTCACCATACCTGAAAAACTTGCTAAAGTTTGAAAAAATTGAATTTATCAACATAGAAAAGTCAAATGAGGAAGAGAGCTAAGTAAAAGATGCTAAGGTAAATGGTTATAGAGAAATGGCATGGTTCAGAATTAGTGATTAAAAAGTACTTTTTTGAGGAGCAGATACTTTAGGAGCTGGATAATCCCAGAAGGCAAGGGCAGGCAATGGAGCACCAAGTGCAAAGCCCATGTTGTGAAACAAATTAGTGTATTTAACTATGAACGTTTGTCTGTTTGTGAGCGAGGACACAATAAAAAATAAAATCAAGCTGAAAACTAATTAAGAGAAACAACTAGAAACCAGAACCAGTGAGATTTGATTGTCATTTAATATTTTCTGAAAGAGTTACAAATAGGAGTTTTGAGTGGAACTTGCAGAAAAAGAGTCACAGCTCAAGAAGAATCAGTGATTCGTATGAAGAAGAATCAGTGATTCGTATGAAGAGAAGTACATAGTAGACGTTTCATTATTTGTCTGCACTTCATTCCCAGACAAACAAGTGAGGTACAATCCATGGGAAGGATTACGGACTTTGGCAATATCTATATTAGTAATAGCCAGTAATATATAAAGAATGGAGGAAGCTCACTATATTCAAATTGATGCTTTAATCTTTTTTAAAGTACTCCTAGGACATTACAAGAGTCTTTCAGGTTATCATCTTATATCCTCTTTAATAATATCCTAATAATATGCACCCAATTGATCTTTTGTCAATGCAACCAAGTATCCGAAAAATCAGAAACAACTTCAATGAGGAAAGATTTATTTTTTCTCGTGTTCTGTCTGTGGTCACTTTTGGGTTTGAGATGAGGCCCAAGCTACATGGTTGGAAGGCTATGGTAAGCCAGAGCTGCTCCCTTGTGGTAGTTAGAATTAAGAAAGATAATGGGGGAAGGAGCAAGAAACCAGGTATAAAAGGATAGGTCTCTAATGACTTATTTTCTCCATCTACATCCAACATAGCCAAGTCTCTGCTGCCTCCCAAAAAGGGCCAGCAACTGGAGACCAAGACTCAACACATAAGCTATTGGGGAAATTCTGTATTCAAATCATAAATGCATTTAAATCAGATAAGTAGAACAATCTTTGATGAGATTACTGACCTAGGAAGTGACCTACCTGGTTACAGCCCCATTGTTCCTGATGGATTAGTTCTGGAAACCATTGTTGGTTGGTTTTGTCATTGTATGAACATGCAGCATGTAGTTATACAAACCTAGGAGGTGTAACCTACTGTATTCTTGGGTTATGTTGTGTTGTCTATTCCTCCTACGCTACAGTCCTGCAGGGCATGTTGCTATCTTGAATGAAGTGGGCAACTGTACTACAATGCTAAACATTTGTGTATGTAAACATAGAAAAGGTACAGTGAAAATATTAGGCAATAGTAATAAATGGTAGCCATAAGGAGATAAAAGTTGCTTTTCACTACATGGATACAAATGCCAATCATAAAGTAAAATGTCTAGAGGAAAGAAAAAGAAGTATTTCAAGTTTTTTTATTGTCTATGTGATGATGACCATTGTAGAAAAGAGGAAAACCAGGTCCAGAAATCCAAAGTCCTATCAATTTAAGTTATAAGAGACTCACTCTACTCACGAACAACACAAACTAGAGAAGTTTGTTTTAGATATAGAAAGGTAAGAACACAAGTAAATAAACTGAAATCTAACAAGCAGTGCAAACTTTCTGAGAGTGGAGAGAATTATGGCTGCTTTTATTTCATATAAAACAATTGACAAGGAGGAGTGGACCATAATGAAAGAAAGACTAGTCAAAGATTTATTGGCGATGTGTGGGCTGGAATGACAGGTTATAGTCTCATGGAGCTCCAGTCACAGGGTGAGTCTGCAGCCACCATTTAGCTCTTTATGGAGGTTTTCAGGAAATGCTCAATTGTAGTAGTTGAATATAGAGGGTAGAGCTTCATGACTGAGATTAATCACTTTACAGATCCCAGACTCTCTTCTGAGGTACTGTGGAAACTCTCTAAGGGCTGAAAACGGGGCAATAGGTGGAGGAAATTCTCCTGAGGCAGGTCTGGAAAATAACGATAACCCTATGAGCATGCTGGAAGCTTGACTTTTAAAGTAAAAAAGTGATCTCCAGAGTTTTGTCAGAGCTGAAAATCCAAGCCTATTTGAAGGAAATGGTGAACTGAATCTAATTAAAGCTTCAACAAAATTAAGACTTGGCAAATCTAAAGAATTGATTGATTAGGCCTTCAAGACAAGAAGCCTAATAGAAGTGAGAAGATACTTTTAAAGATCCATATTATATACTGTACCTAGTATACAATAGCATTAAGAATTATAAGACTAGCTAGGCACTGGTGACTCATACCTATAATCCTATCTATTCAGAAGACTGAGATCTGAGAATCTCAGTTTGATACTAGCCCAGACAGACAAATCTGTAAGACTCTCATCTCAGATTAACCAACAAAATGCTAGGAGTAGAGATGCAGCTCAAATAGAGCACCAACTGTGAACAAAGTAAAAGCCACTGGAAATTGTGGGACCAAAATTTCAAGCCCCAGTTACAGCAGAATTTTTTTAAAGAATTATAAGATTTATTAATATTACTTTTTATTAAGGAATTGTATAGAGGGGGTTCAGTTTCACAAGTCAAGTTATAAATACAAAAAAACAAAAAACAACTTGATCAATGTTACCTCTTCCAGTGTTGCCGCCTCATCTTTCCCCATCAATATACAAGATTTAGTCAGGAGCAACAAAATGTGGTCCATGGTCACG